TGCTCTTATGGCAAACCAGTCTTTGATAGCTTTACATGCTTCTTGAACACAGGGAAAGCCAGTCAATAAAGTTCCTTGTGGCCTAAAAGCAGAAACATCTGTCGGAGGCAGCTTGCTGGGCTGAATATAGCAGCAGGAAAGCCCAACTGATTAACTCCATCCTCTTCCTAACATGTTGTTGTGGTTCCCAGAAATCCCTAGAAAGGGCTCCTGAGGACACTGGCACCATTACAAGCCAGCTATAATTCTGTAAACAGAGAGATAAAGGAAACATTATCCTAACTGCAGTTTACCTCTGGCATACCGTTTGCATAATTCACATGTGCTTCATCTACTCTTCTCTAGACCTGGGACATGCTTGTCGTTTAGGGAAAGAGGAAGAGCCCAAGCTCTGCCAAAGGAGAGAATAAAGCCATTACTGTTGTGAAGAGGGGCTGGGGGTTTGGAGTCCGTGTAGTCTTGCTGTACTTTGTAAGCTGGAGCTGTGGAAAATGGCAGGGAAGATGAGAGCAGTAACACAGTAGACAGTGTGGCTGGGCTGATCCTCCTTGATGCGAACCAGCACCATGGCCCTTCTCCCACCTCCCGCTCCTCTCATTCACACCCACCCTAACATGGAAAGCAGACAGCTTTCTGGGGTTTCTCTTGATCACTTTGCACATTTTGGTCTTCTTTCCTTTCTGTTTGTAGTAATCTCACGGCATGCAAATACTTAAGAGGAACAGCCTTCTCTATCCCCTCCGCAGCATTGTCTTTTGCCAAGACATGACTGTACAAGGTGGTAGATAATCTCATCTAGGCTCCCTTTGCCACAAAAGGTTGGACCAGAAGGTCTTTTGAGGTCCTTTCCAACCTGGGCTGGTCAGTGCTCTACGGCTCAGGTCTGGTACCAAGTCACAACTCTGTGTCTGGCATGCAGAACAGCAGGAGGGAGACGGCCTTCTTGGTGGGAATAAGGGGTGACTGCCTGGCAAACAAACACAACATGTCATTTTAAGGGTTGTGTTAGGGAAACAGGCATTTCCCATCATGTAGCATGCTTTATTTTTCCCCCTTGGTTGCACACTTCTGCAGTACACAAATGATAATTCAGTTACAACAATTTAAACTTTACTATTTTAAAAAGGACTAAGCAATTTGGATGCCTTGTGATGCATTTCAATCAATTTTTTTTTGTTTTGTTTTGTAAAATTGAACATACCTTCAGTTTAGAGTTCAGGCTAACATAACATTTAGTAAGCTTCTTCGATCTTCCCAAAGCTGTTTTCCCAAACAAATGCTACTTCCACTGCTGCATTTTGGACAGACAAAAGTGGTTAATTCCACAATTTTTAAGAAATTTCAGGGATTAGAATTTAAGTTGGGATGTAGATAATTTCCTAATGCCAGGCTCCTGAAGCATGAGCTTTACTGACCACTTACGACACAGTATTCCTCCTATTAATTACTCATATGCTGCCTTCCGTCAAGTCTGAAAGCTTGGGGAATGATTACATTTCCTGTCAGCTACCTTTCAATTAATGCACTGGTATAAAATTGAGGAGGTGCATCCCTTTGTCAGCCTTGAAGGACATAGCGGTTCCAAGAAGGCATTCGCACTCAATGTCTTCCAGGAGTGCCAACATCTGGATAATATTTTGACATCCTTTCAGCTGAAAACTGTGGGAATAATCATCCTGTGAGGATATGCCTCAACATTCCTACGTATTCAATACTGCCAAAATGGAGCATCATCTGCAGTCCTGATACCCAGTAGCTGATGATGAAAAATGATTGAGAACTTCTCTCACAGCTTTTATAACGAAATAAGAAATTACCTGCAATGCCTATTCCTACAGTATGCTGTATACGGGAGGAGCAAATACCTGGAAGGACATACTTGTTCTGATTTCCTATGAACTTCTAGAAAAAATGATGTCTTGAGTTCATGTTAGCATCACCCACTGGCAGTATCAAAGTCAAAACATTTGACTGTGGTACATTATTTTTATCTTTTCAAATATTGCTACTGGAACTTCCTTACAGCCTTTGAAATAATCAGACAACAGTTTATTCCCCTCTCAACTGTGAAAAAATAAAAAACCACCAAAAAACCTTTGTTGTTTTCATGCTTTAAGGTGTCTATGGCCAAGAAGGGAAAAAGCCTTTTTCAGCTCCGTTTGCTTTGTCTGTGAGAGAGGATCTAATATATTGCTGGTACACAGAGATGAATTTTCTTGCCTGTAGGTGGAAAACCACACTATTACTTTCACAATCAGGTAATCCATTGGAGCGATTACGGATCATACTAGCATAGGTTTCCAGCACATCTACCACAGTGATACTTTCACGTTTCTACTAATAAAAAGCTCAAAGTTTCACCTTTATAAGAAATGCTAGAATTACTTCTTTGCTTTATTCCACTTCCAACCTACCTGGTATGACAGTACACGATGCATAACTGAGCAACTTCTCCACAGACTGATGGAAGTTTCCTGACAACTATTGCCAACTTTATTGAGCTACTCAACACCCTTTCTCCACTTACTCTGGAAAGCCAAAAGCATTTTTTTTTTTTTCAAGACATGTGTCTGAACTTGTTCGTGGTTTGTTGACACTGGAATTGCAATTGTGGTCTCAAAATTTGTGTGTAAATAGTAGTTAGCACCATTCTTAAGTTACAGTCACTCTGCTTCCCACCTCCACTGGACCAGGCCAAGGGATCTGAGATAGGGTGTCCCAAACAGTCAATATTTAGCTTGCAATAAGCCTATAGGAAAAAGTCCTTCACTTTGAGAACTTTCTCATGTGGTGAAATCATTCCTGCAATTCCACAGCTATTCTGTAAGTTCATTTAACCCGTATTTATCTGTACCCATCGACATAATTTCTGTGCAATGTTCATAAGATCTTTGGATTCAATGGTGCTGCGTAAAGAGAAATGGTTGTTCTTGAAGATGAAGTAAATACAAGTTTCCCTACAGCAGAACAACAGGGTGGGTAAATGAAACAGCCTTTGGTAGGCAAAGATACATGGCCCATCCACTCAGCAGTTCTTTGGGGCGAAATGAGTATCCATGGCACTATCTGCAGTCGTTGCTGGATTGATATTTAATTCCGGGTAGATCCTGCCAGCTTAAAGGAGTAGTTTTAATCAGAGTTTGAGGGATTTACTACCCTGTGGGTTTTTTATGCATGTGAGAGATTTGTGTGTTGTAGGTTTTTTTTTCTTGAGGCAACGAAATACCTCAGTTTTCTGGGTTTTTGCTCTTTTTCAAAAGCTTACAGATTATTAAAACTTAATCAGTATAAGTGCGGATCTTGTGTTGGAAGTGTACACCTTCTGACTTATTTTTCTGGATTGTGTATGTTTACCTTCCACCTCCCACAGTACAAAATAAGAGGATCAAATTTCCAACAGAACCCACGGCTCTTTCCAGATCTAATAGAGGAGTCTTCAAAATCCTCCCTCTGTAAGTCACTTCAGAAGACATGGACAGCGCAACACAATGAGAATCCTTCAGGCCTGGAGTTATCCTATATTTATGTATTTCCAAAATTGAATTAAAATTCCCAGAGAATTCTGCTGAAATCTTTAACTGGCATTCTATAGAGCAAACCCCTATGTTCTCTGCGTAGGCAGTAGTGACATTTTCCATCATTTTCTCCCTTGCATGTTATTTCCTCACCTGTGTTAGAGAGGCCTGAGGCAATATCATGTTTTCACATGCAAAGTCTCAAAAAGGAAGATTTATAACTTGTTTTTTTAAATTTCAGAGCAGATGATGTGGTCATGTGATGATCAATGATGGGGACGAGTGGACTGAGTGCACCCCCAGTCAGTTTGCAGCCAACACCAAGGTGGGTGGCAGTGTCGACCTGCTGGAGGGTAGAGAGGGTCTGCAGAGGGATCTGGACAGGCTGGATGGATAGGATGAGGCCAATGGGATGAGGTTCAACAAGGCCAAGTGCCGGGTCCTGCCCTTGGGTCACAACAGCCCCAGGCAGCGCTACAGGCTGGGGGCAGAGTGGCTGGAGAGCTGCCGGGCAGAAAAGGACCTGGGGGTGTTGGTCGACTGTCGGCTGAACATGAGCCAGCAGTGTGCCCAGGTGGCCAAGAAGGCCAATGGTATCCTGGCCTGTATCAGGAACAGCGTGGCGAGTAGGACCTGAGAGGTGATCATCCCCCTGTACTCGGCACTGGTGAGGCCCCACCTCAAGTACTGTGTCCAGTTTTGGGCCCCTTACCACAAAAAAGACATTGAGGCGCTGGAGTGGGTCCAGAGAAGAGCAACGGAGCTGGTGAGGGGTCTGGAGCACAAGTCTTATGAGGAGAGGCTGAGGGAGCTGGGGTTGTTCAGCCTGGAGACGAGGAGGCTGAGGGGAGACCTTATTGCTCTCTACAACTACCTGAAAGGAGGGTGTAGAGAGGCAGGGGTCGGTCTCTTCTCCCAAGTCACAGGTGATAGGACAAGAGGAAATGGCCTCAAGTTGCGCCAGGGGAGGTTCAGATTGGGTATCAGGAAAAATTTTTACCCTGAAAGGGTTGTTTAGCATTGGAATGGGCTGCCCAGGGAAGTGGTTGAGCCACCATCCCTGGACGTATTTAACAGACATGCAGCAGCACTGCTGAGGGACATGCTTTAGTGGTAATTTAGCAGGGTTAGGTTAATGGCTGGATTCGATGATCATAAAGGTCCCTTCCAACCTAGACCACGATTCACGGCCGGCTCTCCTCAGGTGCCTGAGGCGGCTCCACACCGGGCAGCGACAGGGGCTTTGTGCCTGGGCCGTGAGGGAAGGGAGACGGGCCCGCGGCCCGGGTTTGCCGTCGGGGTCAAGCCCTCAGGCCCCGCGCACCTCTGGCAGCCCCTCAACGGCCGGCGGGCCGGGCAGCACCACCGCCCCCACACCGCACCGCGGAACCGCAACTCCGACCTCCCAGCTCCCTGGCCGCCCCGCACCGCGCATGCGCCCGCGCGGGGAGGGGAGGCGGGCGGTGCGCCGGTCACGTGCCCTCCGGCATGGCCGGGGAGGCGGCGGAGGGGAGCGCGCAGCAGAGCGGCGGGGCCGCGCCCGGTGGCGGCGGTGGCAGCGGCGGGAGCGCGCTCCCCGCTCGCCCTTACATCTGCTCCTTCCCCGACTGCGACGCCTCCTTCAACAAGGCCTGGCGGCTGGACGCTCACCTCTGCCGGCACACGGGAGAGGTGAGGCGAGGCGGGAGGCGCTGGGCCTGAGGGAGCGGCGGGGGTTTCCCGCTCGGGCCTCCCTGTCGGCGGACGGAGGGAGGTGAGGGGCCCGGCAGGCGGGGGGCGGCCTGCGCGGCTCGGGGCCCCATCCCCCGGGGGTCGGGGAGCCTGCTTCACCCCCTGAGGTACCCGGGGCAGCGCCGGGGGCTGCGTGGGTTGTGTCTCCTGGTTTGTTGTGTCTCCTGGTTTGAGCGACGCGGGACTGATTTCTTCAGTAATTTTGCGTTTCCGTAATTTATCTTCTAATGCTTGGGAAAACTGCACTTTTATAAGACTTCGGTATCAGAATTTGTGGAAATATTTACTTTATAGCCAGCTCTGGTATGTAGGACTCAAGGTCTCAGCATTTCCGAGCCTTGCCAGGTGCAGGATGAGGAGGAGCGAGACCCGGGCACTTGACCCAAGCCAGCCAACAGGGTTATTTCATACCATGCACCTCACATTCAGTATAAATTAGAAAGTTTGCTGAGGAGTTCTCTCTGTCTCTTGATGGCTGTCATCCCGAGAACTCCTCACCCCCATGCTGGACCCCTGAGCCCTTCCCTTCCTCTGGAAGCTGTAGTCAGTGTCTGACATTTGCTCTCTGCTGCTGGAAGCACACAGCTTCCTCATGATAGAATGGGATGCATATAATCCTTGTGTATTTTACACGGGTGTTGGTTCTTTAGTGTTATTAATTATCTGATCTTATTCTATTAAATCTATTTACATTTCAACCCTGGAATTTCCGTGGTTTTCCCCAATTCCCCTTTCCGGGAGGGCTCATCGGGTGATAAAATAATTGTCTAAATGACAATAAATTGTAACGGGTTCCTCAAATTGTAGCATTCTGAAATACTGCCTGCTGAAGGCAGCCTCCTGGAAACAGCCGAGCCCCCCGAGGTGTGGGGTGTCATCTCTGAACAACCCTCTCTCTCTCTTTTCCAGAGGCCATATGTTTGTGATTATGAAGGCTGTGGTAAAGGTTTCACCAGAGATTTCCACCGCGCTCGACACCTTCTTACACACACTGGGGAAAAGCCCTTCGAGTAAGGCCAAGTTTTTTACTTCTTAAAGTGGATTATGCTTGTCCTCATGGAAGTGAAAGGGAGTTAAAATGGGTGTGTGGGTGGTGCAGAGCATGCCAGCCTAGCTTTGGTATCGTGGGTACTGCCGTAACAGTACTCACAACACTCATCACAGTACTCACAGCACTTGTAACAGTGCACACGGGGTGAGATGTGGGGAATCTCCTTAGCCTAAAACCTCCTGTCTGGCAGTGATCCACAATAGATGCAGCTTTCTTCCTAGAATACAGAATTAAAAGAAGGAAGGGCAGTTATCTCCTGTTACTAAGCCATTAATAGCTGCATGTCATGGATTAGGAGCTAGGAATGCGTATGTGTTTTATTAAAAATATCTTCTGATAAATTTTCCTGTGGCTTTTGATTGGAATCTAGCCTCTGGCTTTCCATGTCTTTAAGGTAAATTTTTGTTTGGGTTGTGAGTTTTGGTTATTCTTCCTGTATTCCTCTTATCCAATGATTTCTGTATCTGCCTAGGAAACAAATCAATGAGAGTGATAATGAATGCAGTTCATTTGCAGGTGCACAGCTGATGGATGCAATCAGAAATTTGGAACAAAATCAAACTTAAAGAAGCACATTGAGCGCAAGCATCAAAATCAGCAAAAGCAATATGTGGTGAGTAGTGACCTTTGATACTGTAAAGTGGAGGCTAAACAAGCTCTTTTTTGTGTATCTAGTGAAATACTTCAAATTGTTATTATGTGGTACTTGCATCAGTTCAAATACTGCGATTGGGATTTCAGCAAACATGTGGACTGGGCTGTCGTTGTTTGGCCTCTAATGATAACTTAATTTCCTATATAGTGCGACTTTGAAGGCTGTAACAAGTCCTTCAGGAAGCATCAGCAACTTAAAGTTCATCAGTGTCACCACACCAATGAACCCCCTTTCAAGTAGGTGGATAATTTTAATAACGAACTTTAACAATTCCATTTAAACACTGTTGATGAAAACGGATGTCTTTTCTCATCCTTTTTAATTGATGTGGCATTAAAAAAACCTCAAAAACTACAAACCAAAACCTGGCATGAACTTGTAGTCGTGGCTTCAAGTACATTTTTTGTATTAGTCCTTTGCCCTGTAGTCTGTTTTGAGCAACAGCCCTGTGGCTCTGTAACTTCAGCATTGCAGCTTAATAAATTTTAGGATTTATTACAGGTTCATAGAAGTAATAAACAAAAAATCCGTTTTGAGTTCAGGGAGTTTGAAATACAAACATAAGCTTGCATAGTAATGAAAATGCAGCTACTGCTGTTTTCCAGTAAAAAGCAGTTACTTGGCTAGCATTGAAGTGAGTAGTAGCTTAAAAGAGGTTTGGGCGCCAATCTGAGACGCTGTTCATTGCAACTGTTATTTACATGACACATCAGTTTAGATCTGATGAAAGCAAAGTTTAGCCTTGCATTTCTTACAGGTGGAACACGCTTTACAGGAGTGTTCCACTTTAGTGAAGTGCACTGGTATGGCTGGGTGACAGGCATGAAAATACTGTCAGTGCTCTGCTGCTGCTCTGATGGCTACATCTGCACAAGCCACTTGAATCTTCCACTTTCTAGCTCTCTCTTATGTATTAAGAGCCTACTGTGTAGGGATGATGTGAGGCTTGATTCTTTAGCTAAAGCTTAACTTGCTGTATAGGTGGAAATCATACTGTCGTTTTAACTCTTGACGGGATCAGAGTCCTCTATTAGAAACATACTATGGAATTTATTTTTACAAGGCAGGAGGAGGGACAGATTAGTAGAGAGAATCATCAAGGAAACCTGATTCACTACACACAGTAAAAGGAAAAAAAAAAGTCTTACATGGAATCTTTATAAAAAAGACATTTCTGCAAATGACAATGAAGACAAGCCTCAGGGCCCTACAATTATAATAGTAAATTGCCACCTCCTCCCTAACATCTTTATAGATATTTACTTTGCCACTCTGCCTCTTGGCAAGGGGAAACTTGGGTTATTTTGTCCACTTTAATTGTTCTTAACATAAAGAACAAAAAATACACAGATGCAGTGAAAGAAATTAAACCCGTGTATTTTATACCTAGATGTAATAATGAAGGATGTGGAAAGTACTTTTCTACTCCAAGTCATTTAAAGCGGCACGAGAAGATACATGAAGGTAATACAGTTTTTCTTCTTGCTTCAGTTGTGTTTTAGCAAAGGAAAAGGGACTTCTTCCAGTAATTTTCAAATGCAAATAGTGGAGTTCCCATTGTAAAATGGACTGTGTTTGCCAGAACTGTAGTGATTGTAAACATCTGTCCTGTCCACCAGGCTATGCATGCAAGAAAGAAAACTGCTCGTTTACTGGAAAAACTTGGACAGAGCTTCTGAAACATAATAAAGAAAGTCATACAGGTAAACTCCAAATGCTTTAGTAAATAGAACTTAACTTTTGGTAACTAGTAGGAAACAAATTGATCACTTGAAGAGGAGTCCTTGCTGAACTCATTTCATCAGCTTGTCATTGTGTCTAGACAAACTTGTTTACTAGTACTTTATTGGTTAAATGGTTGTGACTCTGGCTAGACCTTTAACTGATGAAAATGCTGCTTGGTATTCTAACTTTGCTTTGTGATCCAGTTAATGAGGAATTGTACAGTATAGGATTTTGTATCTGGATAATTGATACTGTGTTATTTTCTTCCGGTCTCTGAGTTTCTTACGTTTCATGTGGATTTTACTATTGTTCTAGAGCACTACTAAGGTTTGATTCTGAGCTTCTGTTAAGAAGTTGTTAATTTAGACTCTGCCTGTCTCTCTCCCACTCAGAGCCGATAGTTTGCAGCGAATGTTACAAAACTTTTAAACGGAAAGATTACCTCAAGCAGCATCTAAAAACACATGCAGCAGAGAGGGAAGTCTGCCGATGCCCAAGAGAAGGATGTGGGAGAACTTACACGACAGTATTTAACCTTCAAAGCCATATCCTCTCTTTTCATGAGGAGAAAAAACCATTCTCTTGTGATTATCCGGGTTGTGAAAGAGTGTTTGCAATGAAGGTATGTATTTTTTGGACTGTTCTAATCTGAATCACGTAATCTGAAATGATAAATGATAAACCTTACTTTTTTTTTTTTTTTTTTTTTTTTTTCCCTCCATGCTCTTGGTAACTGTAGCAGAGCCTGGCAAGGCACGCAGTTGTACATGATCCTGAAAAGAGAAAGCTGAACTCAAAAGTAAGTTATACTGTTGAAAAAGTCTTCTCAACCATACTCTTGTCACTTCAGAGGAGGGTAAACATTATGTGTTTTAAAATGGGACTTCAAACAGGAAAACAGGGCAGCTATCATTTGGGAGATGCTTAACTTCTGAAGCTCCTTTAAATAACGCAGTGCTGGCCTATTCATTCATTTCTTCTTCCTCCGCTCACCTTAGTAGCCTTTGCTCCATAGATCCATGAAGTTGCTAATTCTGGATTTATTTCCACCAGGCGAAGCGTTCTCGTCCTAAGAGGAGCTTAGCCTCTCGTCTGAGCGGCTACATTCCTCCCAAAACACAGCCAGGAAAGGACGTGGTTGTGACAGACAGCAAGACAACGGATAAGCCTGTGGAACATGAAATACCAACTGTTGAAATTCTCACTCTGCAGTAAAGGTTAACTGAGACCACTTTTCTCCACACAATTACCAGTGCAAAGTTCAACAATAACTTTATTAAATTTATAGTATTATTTTTTTTTAAATAAGAAATTAATGTTGTTTACACATCTTCATAAAGTCACTGATGCGGCTCACTTGACTCCAGATCTTCATTTTCATCTTTCTTTACTGTACTGCTTTTCTGTTTTTCCATCTTCTGGTAGGCTTTCAACTCCTTGTCAGACATGTGTCTCAAAATACAGGTACTCACTCCTTCTCTAGTAAGTTTTGGCTTGGAAAGATAAGTGGCTTTATCGGAGACAGTCTCCAAAATCTGATCAAAAACCACAAACTGAAAAGGAAGAGAAAACATAGGGACTAAATGTACAAATATACAAAGGTAAAAAGTACTTCAGGCTGCTCTGTCATGACAGTATCTCCTACTTGTGGTTTAGCCGTTAGCTGAAACCAGCTAGTTGCTAGTCCTGGTCTGAGCAGTTCAGCTTGTCCTTTCCTAACCACTTGTTCTTTACTTGTAAGCAGGTTTAGGAAAGTCACCAGAGGGATTAAACCATTTCCTAACACTTCAGTTGATATCCCGCATGACAACGAAGACAAGTCCCAAGGCCCTACAGTTACAGTAGTAAATTGCCACCAGCTCCCTACTATCTTTACAGATGTTTACTTTGCCCATCTTGGAACATTGTTCCAGCAGTTTTCCACACAGCAGTGAAAAACTAACTTTAGCCACAATCGCACAAGTGCATCTTCAGAAAAACAGTTAGGTTACTGAAATAATCCAGTCAAATACAGCAGGTTATTTTTTTTTCTAACTGTACTGTTAAACTTTTCAGTGAGTGAGCTGGCTTAAGGCATAGACGGGAAAATTTCACCAGCCAGTTGATAAGGTGGTGCTGCAAAGGAGTAGGAACAGCTTCAGGAACTACTTTCAGGGGACCTAAACCTTTTCTTAATTTAGCAGTACATGATATATTAAAAAACAAAGCAGTGGCACTACCAAATAGGGAAAGCTAATACAAGCACATCTATTTCATGCAATTGATTGGTCCAGCTTTCAGGAGTCCACTTACCATGTCCGTGTTGCTATCTCTTGCTTGCCGGATGGTAATTTTAACATGGTGTTTCTTTTCAATCCACTGCGCTATCTGTTTAGTCTTGGTTTCTAGGTCATTCTTGGCAATAGCAGAAGAAAAGGATAACTCCTTCTGAACCATCCCTGTTTAAAACAGAACTAAAACCGTGTTGGCTCGACAGCTGATACTCCGGTATTAGTTCTCTCTTTCAACAGGCTGTGGTGCTTTGCTCAGCACATTTCCCCTGTGCTGCTTTCTCGCACATGGAGCATCCCAATCTTGTCTCAGCATGCACCACTCTCACCTCACAAGGTGGCTACTTGGTGTCTCACCCTCACTGCTGTGATCAGGAGATTGAGTGCGTGTTTGAGGCACGCAGGGAAGTCTCTTCAGGGTCAGGAGCCTTAACGTATTTTTATTTTAATTACAATTTTGTTCATACCCCCCACAATGCAGGTCTAACAAAGATAAACATCGAGTTAAAGACTTAGTGTGCAAATTCTTACATTCTGCACATAGTATAACTGAACGTAAAAGCTCGGTAGTTGGACAGTTCTTCATCTCAAGCCCATTTACTTGAATGGTGAAGTGCAATATTCAACTGGGAGTATGATGCCTTGCAACAACTTATGGTCTCTTCCTCCTTATTGGGTCTCTAAAGTAGTTACCATTTGAATAATCTTTGGTTTCTTGAACAGAAGAACTCATTACCGCAAAAGTGCTCTCCTCTAAAATCAGAACTCTACCCAAAGCACAGATACTGTGTTAGCCGGAGAATAAGAAAAGAGGATACAAAGTCAAATACCTTTTCTTAAACCTCTTTGCCAAACTCAGTTTGTTAAACTGCTGAAAAAATGCTGAAAAGTGTTCAATATTGAGAAAGTTGTTCCCTTACTCTGTACAAGAAATGGCTCCAGATTCTTGTCTCCCTAGCAGCCAGCTAGAAGGAGAATGTTTCATGACTACTGGTGACAAAATAATATTGGTGTATCTGATGGTCCATTTGTAAAGACTGCCTGCTGCTTTTTGCCTTTGAAAAGGAAGAGAAATTCATTGAGTCTTATCAAACTAGAGTCTAGTTATATTCACTTAAATAAAAATAGATTAAAAAAAAAAAAACCAATAGATGCCAAAATAGTAAATCCTGAGAAGGCAATAGAAGGCTTCTCTGTGGAAGACTAGAGTAATCCAAAATTCTGTTTTCACTGCTGCAGATCCTTAATAACATGGACTGCAGCGACAGCGCTTTGGATTTACACAAATGCAAGTAAGAGGATTTCATCTGCTGAAACCCCTTTTACTGCAGCATTTTTCAAAGTGCTCGGTGTTGCAGTGCCAACAGTGTACGTACCTGTTTTCGGACTTGCTTTCTTCTTCTCTGCGCGCCTCAGCTGTTCCTCGTGAATCTGCTGCCCAGTCATGAGTCTGTACACGGGAGGCTCCACGTTCTCACGGAGGAGAACTAGTTTGAGGTCATGCTGATCCATAAGCTTGAGGGCCTCTGCTCGGTGCATGTTTCCTAAGCTCTCTCCGTCCTGGTTGATTACGTGCAAAATCCGATAGGGAATTCTTCGCCCCACGCTTCCAAATGCAGTTTTCCTTTTTGGTTCTGCGTGAGATTTTTCAGCTGTACAGAATGGCTGAGTGAGTCCAAACACAGCTGGCTTTCTAGGGTCAGGTACCACCATCCAGAACGGAGAAAAGACCCTGTTTTGTGGTGTTTGTGCCAGAATAGTACCAAAGAATCTTTTCGTGTATCTATTCTCGTTTCTGGTTGCTTGCCACAGAAGTTTCATCACGCAGAAGGTAGTCATTCTGAGGAAGCAGGGAAGAAGAAAAAACAAGTTACCCCCATCAGTCAGATTCTTCTAGTTCTATTCAAGAGACTCGACTCCAGTTCAGTAAACCCTAGTCCTTAAAACTACTCTTTCAAAAAGATGCCTGGTGTTACTATAGAGTATGAACAATCTACAGTAACTTCACAGTGACAGAGGGCTTTAACCCAGACAGAAAATCTGACAGAGGAACAAAATTTACAAAGAGTTGTTTCTTCAGGATTTTAAAATGTGACCCTGAACTCTTTTAAAAGAATCCAAAACTTCTAGTTCATTTCTCCTCACAGGAGTATCTAACACTCACACAGCTTTTTTGTGTATGGAGTAGCCAATAGTTAAGAGGGAGAATTTGTTGTCAAATAAAGAGGCATGTCACACTTAATTCTTCATGAAAAAAAAATCTGGACTGAAAATATCTAACAAGATACTTTCTTCCTTCTTCTGACACTCTCCTTTGGAAAGTTTCATTGAAGCCACCTTAATTCAGAACTACCCTAATCACGCAGTGAACAAAGCAGTGATTTGTGCGGCGTCTGTCAGCAGCCATCCCAACATCTAGAGTCTGATCCTCCCCTATATTTTGTAAGGTTTGGGAATTTCAAAGCCTTGACCATAACAGAGTAAGACTTGCCACGCAAAATCTTCAGCTTGGCACGAAAACACGACAAAGTGACCGTTACTGTACTTGAAAATGTGGTTTATCCCGGCGTTGAAAACTCTCCCATAGCCAGCATGCAACCTGCTGCTCGTAGCACTGACCCCAAATTCTGTATTTTTCTCAGTTTTCCAAATGTCATTTTGTGGATGTAATCCAGCTGGCTACTTGGTCTGACATGGATTAAGCACTAATATTGTTTCAGTAACCTTCAAAAAATTTAAAAGTACTGTCACTGTCTTTGAAGCTTAGCTTCCACAGACTAAGCTATGCTTCGAAGTGAGAGCAGTGCCTTAATTTTAAACCTGTTGTATCAGACATTTATAGCATCATTCGATTCTCCCAGTTTTTCCACAAACACTAACTTTGGGGGGCAGCAAATTTCTGTTTTATAGCGAGCCGAGTTTTTCCAGCAAGTAGAAGAAAAAAGATGATACAGGAAACCCAAACTGTGTGGCGCCGGCCAAGTGTGTGACTTCTTTTGCCCAGGGAGGGAACCTGACCCCCCTCTATAAATACATACATACGTGTATGTGTAAACACCTACCCGTGTGCACACTTATACATGGAGAAGGTGCAAGGAACTGGCAGGATAAGGACGGAACCCATGGACCTCGGCAAACGGGGACGCCCCGGCC